TTCACGAGACATTTACTTCACGATGCGTGTACTGATATGTGAACGCAATTATCCGTTGTTTACGTCTGTTTGAAATGTATATTATACGGCTGTGTTGCTACTATGTCGACAACCAATTATAACCAAACGTTTTAAGACGTAGAAGTGAAACCTTCAAATGAAATGAAATATAAAATAAAAATATTTCACAGCAAAGAATTTATTTACTCGTAATATGCAGAGAATAGAAGAGTGCACGCCTTGCAATACATAACGCAGTGTTGGTACCGACTTTGTTATATGGCAGCGAAACCTGGGTATGCCAGAAGAAGCATAAAAGCAAGTTGAATGCAGTGGAGATGCGATCTCTTCGTAAAATGTGTGGCGTTACCATAGCCGACCGTAAGCGAAACGAAGAGATTCGCAATATGGCAGGATTGAAAGATGACCTTATCACAAAAATTGATAGGGGCGTACTCCAACGGTTTGGGCACGTTGAGCGAATGAGTGAAGACCGAATGGTGAAGAAAATATATAGAGCGAAAGTAAATATTAAAAGGTGTAGGTCGAGACTAACTTTCGAAGACCATGTGAGCAAATTGCTCGAAGAGGGGAGGGTCAAGAGTACTCGGATACTTAGACGTGCATGTATGAAGAAGTTAATGAACCTGAAAGAAGCGAAAGAGGTATGTAAGGATCGTGACACTTGGCGATCTGTTTTCTCTGGCTACCCCGTTAGGGATTGTGCGTGAAGATTGTGCTTAATATGATCATTTTCAACCACAAATGCGGCAAAAATATAAGCTAAAAGTTTCATTTTATGGCAAATAAATGTAACGCTCATTATTTTTAAACTGTGATTTTAGTTTGCTTTCAAATAAAATTGCTTTGTAATAGCGCCATCTACTTCATACTATTGGTAAAATCATTTTATCGAACAAAAATTGATTAACTCTCAAAGTGGTACAAAAGATTAAATTAAAAGGTGTTATGTGATATAAACACGAATAATTTAATATAAATCGATAAGTTATGAAATCGTCGATTGTAATGAAGGGATTGATTAAGATAATTTTATTCACTGTGGTTAATTTTATTTATTTAATAAATTTAAATAGTTTCTCTGTGTGATAAACTTAGAAATGAGGATATCCGCAGTAGAACCAGAGTGATCGACATAGCCCAACGGATTGGTAACCTGAAGTGGCAATGGGCCGGCCATATGGCTCGAAGAACCGACAACCGTTGGGGAAAAAAGTTTTTCGAGTGGCAGCCTCGTACCGGTAGGCGAAGTGTAGGGCGACCCCCCACTAGATGGAGTGACGACCTTTTAAGACATGCAGGAAGTCGATGGATGCAGGTGGCTTAGGACCGTGCTTTGTGGCATACCTTGGGGGAGGCCTATGTTCAGCAGTGGACTTGTGAAGGGCTGTAATGATGATGATGAATAAATTTGTTAATTTTAGCTGTTTATTTTAACAGTTAAATGTATATTAACTATCTTTAAAGCACCGCATAAAGAGGAAACCGAAATAATAAGAAATACTTTTTTTTAATATATAAGCTTAAAAATAATCGAATGACAGATTCAAACCCACAACATTTTGAGTTCGCGGTCCGCACCCTGCCATTAAGCTACTTTTGCTTACAACACTGTATTCTATCTCATTTTTACTCAGACTAAATCCTATAGATATATACGTTTTTCTCATTTTACTGTTGCTTTTTCGTTTCATCCAGTTACAAATCACAACGATGCTAAAGAAGTTTTCACTTCAAAATATAACTACTTATAATAATAATTAATATAATACTCGTAAATAGATCCATTTTTTTACAATTGCATATAATCAAGCCGGGCACGAGATATCACCTAGTGGCCGTTAATACATACTTGATTGCGAGCGAGAACATATTATAATGTATTTAAATTAGAGGAATTAAATTTACTTACCGAGCAGCTCGTCGGCGCAATCACTAATCGGCGTTATTTCTAAATATTGTGGTGAGTAAATGTTGTAAGTGTAACTGTATGTATATGATAATGTTTAGCCGAAAAACACTAGCGATTATAAACTTTAAAACTAATTGAATTAATAATGCGGTAGGTGCACAACACGGTGCAACCACAGGCGCGGATTAGCGGACACTTATTCAACTACTGCCCTTTTCTTTTGAGGAGAAGGGAAGTCACAATTTTCACTCACACCACCGCCATCTATGATAAATACCGTGAAATTATTATATTTATTTTATTAATATATTGATTAACTATTTTGCGCATGTTCGGCGCGACTAGCATACAGTAATGAAAGATGTTAAAAATTAATCAACTAATATCCGCGTATTAAAATAAAATGTGTTTCTTACCTAGTTTAGAGAGCACCAACCGCCCTCTCTCAATCACGTGCACTGTCTCCGTCACCACTAATCCCAGCATCAATACTCCCAACACCACTACACTACGCAAGACATACCCTACATTATAATTACAGTCTATGTACGTCCAACCGCTACACAGGCCTCCCCCCATTTCTGAGCGGGTTTTAGGGCAAGGAAGTATAGGAAGGATCGAACCCGGGTTGCTCGCGTACTGAGAAATTTACAGCGGGCGCTAACCATGTGAGCTACCATGGCTCTCCGTCGATAATACTACAAGTGTTTTGCCCTAAATGAGGCATCCTCAGATGAAGTAGACTCTGCAATAACAATAATATTATATTAAAAAAAAAAGAAAAAGTGGACACTTAGAATTAAAATTAAGGCTGTGTGGTCTAAGATTCGCGCTTAAAACATTTTTTCCATAAAAACTATAACATTCCAAAATTAACAAAAGAATTATAAAGTTCTACTAATTCGAAATTTCATTTGTTTTTTTTACATTCTGTATTTGAGCTAATCATGGAGAATAGATTATTTTTCGAGTACAAGTTCCGACGTAGTACCTACAAATGCAGCAGAGTGAGCTTACAAAATAAACATTGTGTTTGGGGAGAAAATTACTTACGAACGGACAAAGTTTTTGGTTTAATCAATTTTTTAAGTAGAAACTTTATCTTGCAGAATGAACCGCATGGAAGACCAGACACTAACATATATAATGATGAATTAAAGTAACGGTGCAAGCCGGTTCAAAATCACTTGTTTTATCTACAATATTTAAATATTTTGATAAAATGAAAACTCGAGAAATGGGTGCCTCATGAATTAACTGATGTACATAATTGAAGGTACAGAAATTAAAAATTTTGGATAAAACTGTGACGTGTATAAAATGGTTTGTATTCGATAATCGCAAGCGAAAAAGGCAAGGCGTACACTCAGGTCAAATACCGAAACAATGTCCTAAAGCGATGCTCATCCAAAAAAGCGTCCCTCTCCCTGAACCCTCTCAGTACCCTACTGGAATACTTCGAGAAAGGATTTCAGCTTCGGAAAGAAGGTACAAAAATTTTCACCTTTTCTATATGGATGATAACAAGTTATGAGCATGCGGTCGCTCCCATCTTATAGAATTGCCAAACATCACTTTTGATTTAGTAATTATATTAGAATAGAGGTGGGGATGGATAAGTGTCAAAATAGCAGCAAGTAAATCTTAGGGCATAAACTTATCCGTACACATCAACTTAAGGACCATTTCTGAGGCTGAAACATACCGATATCTGGCTAGACCACAGAACGTTGGTATCGATGAGGCGGTTGTTTCACACAACAATCAGTTTGCAATGTGTTTCATACACGCTTGACCAAAGTGTTTAACAGCCTTTTATCCAGTGTGAATAAAGCACACGCACGTAACGGTTGGGTCATGCCTGTCTTCATGTATAACTTCGGCATAATTAGGTGGACTCAGACTGAACTTACCGCTCTGGATAGAAAAGTCCGTACTACTATGACGTTTTATAGGATGCATCAGCCGAGATCGTAGATTATGAGCCTGTACTTGCTGCGGAAATAAAACATTGTAGACGTGGCTTTTTAAGCGCGTTTGCCATGCATAGTCGGGAAGTGTGCAGTTTCCGTAATTACTTTCTAACGAGATTGGATAATCGATTCTATAGGGATAAAGGATAGGGGATTCTATCTTGTGATAAAGGGCTTACTCCTATATCTTCAGCCAACGAACATTGGTAAAACCAGGCAATATAGAGAATTTTCGTTTGGGAGACCTTACGAAAAGAGAACGAGCTCAACGGGAGATTCTACAAGGGTCTACATGAGCCTTTCGTAGACGCAGTTGCCTCCCTCCACTGGCTACGTTTTGGTGACCTCTTTGGGTAAACCGGGGGTTTTTTGTGAAATACAAGATCAAGTTATTAAGACAAACAACTATCGGAGATACGTCTTAAGGGATGGCACCATCGACATGTGGCCATCCCGGTGAGTGACTTAGACATGTTATCTTCGGTTGTTCGGCGCTTTCTAACTCTGAATACTTGTACAAGCGCAATTTAGTAGCCAGAATTTTACACCAGCAGCTCGCTCTGAAATATGGTCTCGTGGACCGGAAACTGCATTATTACAAGTACTTGCCAGAAAGCTCTACTGGGACCGGGCCATCATCGCAGACAGGGCTATTCTTGCGAATAAGCCTGATATTGTGCTGATGGACCGGGCACAGTCAAAGATATTTTGGTCGACATTACCATTCCACAGTCACAGTTGGAGTGACGTTGCGGATGTCAGTGCTACTAGAAGTACGCAAAGCTTGTCGCGAAATAAAAATTAATATCTACATCTAAAGTTATGATATCGATGTTTTGAAACATTTTTTCTGGACTTTAAAAACTGGTCCATATGTTAATAAATTAATCATTTGTGTGTGCTTAAGGATTGTGGTGAAAGAAAATTGAAATAAAACATCTAAAAGTGAAATATAAGTGGTACCTTTATTAATAACTTTAATGTACATCGTCTATTTACCCTCGAACTACAAAGTGTCAATTACAATATATAGTCGGCGACACCTACTGATAATCATCTGCATCATTACATTGTAATTAACTTAAACTAACGCGATGAAGTGCAGTGCGTGCGGAAAGTTTATGGCGGCGGCAGAGGGCGTTACGTGTCCTAAATGCGATAGAAAATCACACAGGGCCTGCGTCAAAGTTCCTGGAGGTGTGCAGGTCCAACCTACTTGGTTGTGTCCGGACTGTAAAATACGGACGCCCCGAAAGTCAGATCAGAATACGCCTGGGCGAGGACTTAATTCCGAGAATATTATCAAGCAAGGCGAAGAGAAACCCCAAAGCCCTGTGGCGCAAGGTTTCAAAGAGTCGGAACTAGCTCTTGAACTACGTAAATTTAGAGAAGAACTGCGAGAAACTAGGGAAGAATTTAGATCTTTCCGACAGGAAATGTTTGATTTGCGTAATTCCATAAAATCGTGTGAAGAACGCCTAGATACATTAGAAAACAAATACATCCGTCTTGAAGAACAACAAACCCTAATTGAGTCCAAAAATGTCTGCGGCAAAATTCAGGATCTCGAAACGATTATTGCGGACTTAAGAGCAGATTTAAATGATTGAGACCAAGAGCTGCTGTACAATGATATTGAAGTCGCAGGCATTCCAGAAGAGGGCGCAGAAAATGTTCTACACATTGTGACTGCGTGCGCTACTAAGCTGGGCGTAACCCTAGAAGAGCGCGATATAGTGAGTTGTGTGCGAGTCGGTCTTATGCGCGACGAGCAAAGTAGGCTAGCGAAGCCCCGTCCCATAGTCGTGCGGCTGGCGCGCAGGCACACGCGGGACACTCTGCTGCGGGCAGAGCGCGTGCGCCGCTCCTTAACTACCGAAGGTCTAGGTCTCCGCTCCGAAAATACACGAGCCTTCTATATAAACGAACGGCTTACTAAATTGAACCGCAATGTATTTTTTAGAACTAAGGAATTCGCTCGGCGATTTGATTGGCGCTACGTATGGTCAAAAGAGGGAAAAATTTATGCTCGTCGAGAACACGGAACAACGTCTTATCGCATAAAAAGTGAAGTAGATCTCGAGAGGGTTTTTGGAACAAATTCAGTTGGGGCTATCGGTAGCAATGGAAAAAAAAATATAAAAGCTATACTGCCGTCATAAGAAAAAAGGGCACAACTAACATTTTTTCCGAAAATGAGTTATATACATACTCGGAATCAGAAAAAAAGGTCCATCTGCCAATATTTTTTGTATAATTTTAGGAACAAGATAAACAGAAATACCGTTAGCTCAAAAGGCACAACTGAGCCACTTTTTAAGTTTTTGTACGTAAAAAGAGCACATCTGAATTATAGTACATCAAAAGGTCACATATGCATGGATGTGACTTTTATTTGTATCACAATAAATGTAATTTATTTAGTAGAAAAGGCATAATTGGTCTGCGTTACATATTAAAGGCTTATGTGCTAGTTGTGCTCTTAGATTTAAAAGCTTACCAATACTAGACCTTAACATTTAATTTAAAAGAAAAGTCATAACTACCAGTCATGCCTTTGCTACCAAAAATGTTTGACTATAGGTGAAGAGAAGGGGTCGAGGTACGAAGCGAATCTCGCCAGTTATGCCTGACGTGTCTCGGTGAGTCCACGCTTGTCTGTGAGTGGTATGCTGGTAAGTTTTAGTTACTTATTTGCATGCCTTTATTATGTATAATTTCTTTTGTGACACGGTAATATGAATTTACTAGTATTTATTGACGAAATTTTTGAGGGATTAATTGCAATTTAGTTAAAAAAATATGACATTTTTAGTCGGTATACTGTATCGTTAATAATTTAGAATACGAAACTCGCAATTATTTGTTAACTGACATCTGCCCGTGAATTCACTGACATGAAAAGAATCGAAAAAAACCTTGCCTGTGTTCGTAAAACGTCTCATAACTGCCCGTGCTTATTAATGAGTCAGTTTACTTTTACGGAATTTATACTACCTCCCGTTTATTTTTATCAAAAACAATAATACGAAATAAACTTTACTCTTTTTTCAGCACTATGCAATCACGAAGTGCAAAATTAGTTAGTGCTGCTTTACGCAACGATATATCTGTAGCCGAGTGGTCTATCTTGCCGTCAACAAGCAGTGGCATTCAAAACTCGGTGCAAGCATCAAGCTCGGAGCATGTTGTGGTGCCGCACTTTTTGCTAGATACAGGGTCTGATTTTGATTCTGATGACTCAGTATTGGATAAAACTTACGAATTACCAAAAGCATGGGAAAAAATCAGCGATAGTGATGGCTTTGACTCAGAAGACTTTATACCATGTTCGCAGCCAATTTCAAAAAGAATAATTTTAGAATCACCGGAATACTCAGATGAAGAAACAACGGTACAACTGACTAAGAAAGGAACTATTAGAAAGCGCAAAACTTATAACGTTAGCATAAAGGATCGAAAGAGACTGAAGACTGAGGAAAAAATAAAACTCAAATATTTTGTAAAACCTGGATGCCGCGAGGATATCTGCAAGAAAAAGTGTTCAGCACGTTTTTCAGAAGAGTATCGTAAGATAGTAAATAGCAATTTTCGAAAAATGACATGGATGGAACAAAATGCTTCTTTTTGAGTGATACTAGTCAAAGAAAACCGGATAGACCTAAAAACAGAGAAAATGATGACAAAGAAAGTAAATATTACACACGGTCTAAAACTATATCATATTTTTGGCAGATGAAAATGGTGACAAAATTCCAGTATGCAAAACTTTTTTCCTAACCACTCTAGGCTACAACAAAAATAATTGTAAGGCTGTAAGAAATATTCTTGATCGTAATTATGATCCTAAATCGTACCCAGAACCCCTCATTGATGGTCGCGGTCACAACTCAAATCCAAGAAAAATCGATAATACTAAAATCAAGGAGCATATAATGTCATTCCGTCCTGCTGTGTCCCATTACAGGCGTGAACATGCCCCTAACAAAAAGTATTTGCCTTCTGATCTCAGTATTCGAATCATGTATGACCATTACTGTGAAAATGTGCCTGAAACGAAAGTATCGTACGGTTTTTACAGAAAAATTGTAAAAGAACTTAATATCTCATTTGCCAAGTTAGGCCACGAGGAGTGTGAGCTATGCGAAAAATTTACGATTCATAACCCTAACTCAGAAATCAGACACAGAGGTTGTAAAGCATGTAAAGATTATGAGGAACATCATGAAAAGTATATTTTAGCTCGCAAGAAGTACGAAGAAGATGCTGATAATCAGACTCAGAAAAAGAATAAAGCCGACACTCTTATTTTTGCCGTAGACCTGGAAAAAATTATCATGTTACCACGTATGGAAGAATTCAAAACAGTGATGTTCTGCCCGCGGCTTATTGTTTTCAACCAGAGCTTTGTACCGATAGGAGACAAAAAAATACACGAAGTTGGTCACATTTTAGCCGTTTTGTGGCACGAAGGAACGTCTGGCAGAAAAAAAGAGGACATTGTAAGTTGCTTCAGGGCTTTTTTTATAGAAAACCGAGACCTAAAGCACGTAATTTTGTGGCTTGATAACTGTGCAGCACAAAATAAAAATTGGACACTTTATTCTTATTTGACATATTTGGTAAACTCTGCCGAAGTTAGTTTTGAAAGCATTACTTTGCGCTATTTGGAAGTTGGTCATACATTCATGGCTGCTGATGAATTCCACCACAGAGTGGAACGATCTCTTAAAACAAAAAAACGCATTTATGACTTTGAGGATTTCTGCAAAGCTGTATCTAATACTGGCTCTTACACAATAGTTAAGAAGATGATTATTCAAGATTTTTTTGATTTTGAAGACTGCTCTTCGATATTTAAATTAAAAAATTCCAGCCCTCGAGCTTACATGAATGGAATTGCCGAGGCTAATTTTCGCAGAGGATTCAATTTATTATTTTACAAAAATAGCCATGGCACTGATGGGTACTTTGAATTAGATTTCCTTAAGTTAAAAAATCTAAAAGAAGGCATTCCAGCACCACGCCAAAAAATTGCTCCGAGAGGTATTACGAGTGAAAGAAAATCCGCTATACTCACTGAACTTGGTCCACTTATGCCTACTAATAGAAGGAATTTTTGGGAAACCTTGCCCGTAAACGATAGCTCAGCTGATCTTACTCAAACTTATGAAGACTAATAATTTTTTAAGTGTACTCATTTTGACCGAAATTCTAATTATAAGTGCCTTGACGATTGTGATAACTTTATTGTAAGATAGTTTTTTTGAACTTTTGAAATAGTTTTTGTTTATTCTATTTTTGATAAATGTTGATTATAGGACATGGTCGAAATTATTGTAAACCTTAAAAGTTAAGTGCCATATTTAACAAACGTTAGTACTTATTATGTAGCAAGCATTATTTCTTAAATTAGAAACCAATCAAATATCTTTACTGTGATTTTTACATAATAAAAAACAAATAAGTTCCTTGATGACTGATAATAACAGTTAATTAATGTTAATTTGTTAAGTTACAGTTAAATTTTTTTTAAATTTCGAGACGATGATTTTTGTTAACTTTTTCAATAAAAGTTTTATAAATATTCCTCCAATGTTTTATCTCTGTTCTTTTATGTTTGTATAATTATAATGAAAAGGCACATTTTAATAAATGTGCCCTTTCATTGTATTATTTCATATTTTTACACAAAATGTTAGAATGAAAAGGCACATTTGGTTAGTTATGCCCTCTATTCGTAATAATAATAATTTTACTACATTTTTTATGCTACATTGAAAGAGAAAATGTTGATTATTTATAAATGCCAATAAAATAAAATAAATATTATTCAATAGTCGTATAGTAATCGTAAAAATGAATATATTTGAATGCATCTATTTTCAAAAAATAATATTATAGTCGATATTTTTTGCCAAAAACCAACAAAAATTTTAAACTCGATTTTCTCCATATTTATAAAATGTTAGTTGTGCCTTTTTTCATTATGACGGCAGTATAATTATCTGAATTTTTTTTTAAATATTACCTTGTTCTGCTATTGCTCATTTTTATGTAAGTCGTTAATAATTGTGTTTGTATTTTTATTTAGGAACTATTTTTGGATTCTATTTCTGTTAAATGAAATATACTATGCCTATACTCGTATGTGGAATAATAATATATCCTGGTTAGTTCTGGCACAAATTTCTAACATCAATGTATTGAAAAGACTCACTAGCGTTTTGTCTTTAAGTTCTGCAACACATACATACAATAATTACTATACGAGTACATTAAGGTACAAGAAAATTTACTCAATGGATAACTATTTAAAAATTTGTGATATCCCCATAAATATTATTTATTCTGTCAAATCACATAAAAATAATTTTGTCTGTACAAGAAGCAAACTAAAATTAAATTTTGCGTCGGAACCTATTATGTCAAATAAATATGTATATCTAAAATTTGTTTATGGCTTCTAAAAGTAACGTAAAAGTTGGTCTTTTAAATGCAGGGTCCCTTGGAACGCGGCACGATGAATTTATTGTCGCAATGCAACGGCATAGTGTCGATATCATGGCCATCAATGAGACGTGGCTGCGGGAGGGCGAAGAGGGGCGCGCGGCCGCGGTGCCCGGTTACCGGCTGCGGCACGCGCCGCGTCCGCCAGACGTGCGCTCGCTTGGCGGCGGCGTCGGCTTCTATGTGAAGCACAGACTACTAAGAGGATACTACGCATCAGACAGGAATCTTAGAACAACCAATACGGAAGCAGTAGTTTAGAGTTTGACTTTTGTTTACTTCCAATTTTGAGGTATCAGCCAAAAGTACATCATTGATAAAGCCTACTTACGTTACTTTTAAATTTTGTAGTTATAAGGCAAAAGTACACCATAAAGCCTAATTTCGTTCATCTAACTACTCACCATTAAAAGTTGACAATTTTAAAATCTTTAGAACTTATAATACAAAAATAAAACAACTTATATATTAGTTATTCAAGTTTTTATTTTTTTTCTTTTTAAATTATTTACAAACTTTATCTAGCATTTGCGGCAATTGGTTACGTTATTTTAATCTCACAATATCAAATTCTTTTAAGATTTTAGTAACGTTACACCAGTTCCATTTCCGTTCCAATATTTGGATTTCCATATGCTTTTTTTTTAAAATTTCATAAGAATTTGGTTTCACTTCCAAATATTAGTTTGTTTCTTTTACAACGGTTGAAATATACCTCACTGCATATTCTGAGGGATAGGTTGATTTTTGTTTTTATTTTAAGTATCTATACTCTCTGTGAGAAATCCATTGGTGAACTGACTACTGAATTTTTTAGAGGACATGATACACTCCTTGTCCTCCTTATTAACAAATCTCATTACCTCTAATTTTTTTTATGGAATTAGTCAAAAAGGGTTTCGTGCTCTGATGAATTCGTTACAGCTTGCTTTAAGGACATCACTTTGTTTCTCCGTCTAAGAGCTGTTTCCTTATATGAATCAAATAACTCCTCCAAAAAAGACAAAGCTTCTGAAGTATTTTTGACGTCGACTTTACAGCTTTTTTATCAGCTTAGCGAGCTGTAACATAAAAATAAATATAGTGTTAGCCATAGAAACCCTAAATTAATATTATTTGTTTCTCTTTTATTCTTATATATTTTTTTACTTTTTATAAGCCAGTGCTTGACCACAATCCCACCTGGTAGTAAGTGGTGATGCAGCCTTAGATAGTAAATCGCACTGTCTTAGCGTAACAAAACCTTATTCACTCTTGCCTTGAAGACGCCCAGATTGTATTCGGATGGAAAGATAGACGCTGGCAAATTATTCCACTCCTTTGCTGTATGCATTAAAAAATTCGAAGTAAACCGTTTGGTACTAATGCGTGGAATATCAACAACAAAGGGGTAAAGACCCGCCGACCGCCTGGTCGTCCGATGGTGAAAAGGAGAAGAAGGAATTAAAGCGTGCAATTCCTACGCACACTGCGAAATGCATCCTATAGAATACTGAGGGTTTATAATAGGATTATATTGCCTAAATCTATGCGCAAGTACAGGTGCACTCTCTATTTCCTCACTCTCAATCCCATGGAACAGTAAACTGACACGACCGGAGAGAGACCAGGCGTAGGATCAACGCCTTTACGAGTTTTCCGAGGCATGGTGGTAAGACACCGCCAACTTCTTGACTCCAGGCAGCTACTGAAGATTTCTTGACAAAAAACTCAATAATTGGTTTTTGGCCCGACCTGAGATCAATCCCAGGACCTCATGATCAGCAGTCGCACTACTACAACCACTAGACCAACAAAGCAGTCAATCCGACATAATACAGCTTATAAGTATCCATGCAACCTTATATAAAAATAATCTCCTCTATAGTTTTTCCTGGAACAGATCTCTGTTTAGTATTAAAGGCCCGCTAATTGTACATTTAGTATATAGTTTGTTGTCAGTGTTTATGTAATATAATATTGTATGCAATAAAAAGTATAAAAAAGTAAAATAAATATCAGCTTTCTACATTTACATCCTCTGCTGGATTTAGGACTTTATAAATCAGTGAATATTTTTCTATTGGTAGGCGCACATCTGTAAGCAAATCGTAAGACGGCCCCACTAAGGTGATGACCTGA